GGGTCCTTTGAAAGGCAGGGCACTCAATGTTCCTCGAGTTTCCTGGGAGTCAAAGAAAAGCAGGAACTAGCAGGAGCTACAAGGCTAAGAGCATTCCAGGAGATGCACAGTTTTTCTTGGTAGTAAGGCCTGAGGACAATCATTTCCCATGTTGCGGATGGGACATGAGCAATGTGGCTGTGCCCAGGGGCTCTGCCAAGCCACGCAAGATGCAGGCTGAGAGTCACAAAGAAACAGCACGTACTCCATTTGTTCTCAAGCCTTTTCTTCCTTTTTCAGAAAGAAAGAAAGGAAGAAAAAAAGAAGGAAAGAATCACAATAATACATTATACTTTCAAAAAAAAGGAAAGAGAGAGAACAGAACTGTGGTTACTAGAGGTGGGAAAAGGGAGGGGAAGGGGGGTTGTCCAGAAACTAGTTAAGGGTCACAAAGATTGATTACATTTTGTAAACATGAGTACACTAATTATCCTGATTTGATCACCACATATTGTACACATGTATTGATATTCAATTCTGTATCCCACAAATATATATAATCAATTATCTTTCCATTAACAATCTGTCAAAAAATATCGATCATTTGAAAATAGAGGAAGTAAAAGGAAGAAAACTATAATTTTACTGCTCAGAGACCACTAGTGATATCTACGTATTTCATAACAGGATTCTCCTGTGTGTGTGCTTGCATAGCGTTGTATTGTAGAGAGTTTTATAAACTGGTATTTTTCATTCAACGTCATAACATAGAATGTTAAATACACTCTTGCACAGCCTTGTAACACTAAGGTCACAGGTTCAGATCCCCGAACCATCTAGACACACACACACACACGCACACACACACATTAATTAAAAAAAAAACACTCTTGGTAAAAATCCATTTTTATGGCTACATGGTCCATAAAATATACACCAAAAAATGTCTGTTCCATTCTTCTACTACTGACATAAATCTATTTCTAAAAGCATTGACAATAAAAACTATCATTTTTTTAGAATTTATGACTTAAGTCATAAATAAGTGCTTTTATATGAGTTATCTCATTTATTTTACAGTAACATTTTACATTATTTGACAATAACACTTCAAGGTAGAGACTTTATTATCCTGAGAAGAAATTAGAGCTCAGAGAGCCACTTAGCCACCAAGAAGTGCTGTCTTCCAGTTGTCATAGCTCACAATGTGGTAAATGTCTTTTTTCACTGTCCTCCAGAGAACATGAAGTTCTGAGCACCTGCCACTCCTATGGTCTCTCCACTGAGGAAAGCATGTACCGTCACTGCCTGGCCTAGACACCAGTGCCCTGTCTATTCCCTGACTGCAGTCCATGCCAGCAAACAGCACTGTCATACTGGGCAGTGACTGGCCCACGCAGATCATTGCTCTTAGGAAGTCCGGATGCAAGACACAGAGGAAAGAGACAGATGGGCCCGCCACAGCCAGAGAGAAGGCAGCAGAAAGAAGCCATGAAGAAAGGAGGAGGAAAGGGGAGGGGAGAGGGAGAGAGAAGGGGACAGAGAAATAGAGACAGAGAGATGGGGTGGGGGTGGGGGTTGAAGCAGCACTGAGAAGTACAGGTAGAAGAGACCCTGAGTCCTAGGAATTGTGGGGTGACATGTTAGGAGCTGAGGGGACAATGACTGGATCTGCTTTGGGGACACTGGAGTCGCTCAATCGTGAAGGGTCACAAGGCACAGCTGTTTAGCTGCTGAGGCCATTTGCTGGGCTGCCTCCCCCTTCCAGATCTCCCTACATTGTCACCTGTCGCCTGAGTAGCCAGCATTTCCTTCACATGCGCGCATGGGCTCTTCTGGGCCTGGGAATACGTCCTTCCTTTCTGCCCAAGGAACCAGTGGGCTCTAGCACACCACTCTTCAAGGCGGTGTGCTCGCCCCACAGGGCATGGAAAGGAAATATGCTAATTAACGTCTAACTGAAAAAGAATAGAAACCAAGCATGCTAATGTGTAAGGTGATGACTGACGACAGAATGTGTATGTAATTTACAAACAGACATATGTCTATGGGGGTGTGTGCTCAGAATTTTTTGCTAGTAGGGCATGTGATCAAAACAGTCCGGAGACCGTTGCTCTGGTAGAAGAAATCTAAGTTTTGGAGTGAACTTGGGCTGAGGTTCCTCCGTTGCTCCTGGGATGTGAAAAAGGGACAGCTGCGTTGGCCCCACGGGGTTGCAAACCCAGCACAGAGCCCACCTGCAGCTGGGCGAGCTGCCACTCTGCTTCCTTACCTTGCCACTAATGGGGTTTCTCTCTGCCCGGATTACGTTGCCCACCATGTCACAGAATTCCACCCCATTTGGAAGCTTGTTTGGCCTAGAGTCGTTAAATTTGGGGTGCTGGTACAGCTCCGCCAGCAGATTTTTATCTGCTGTTTTCTGAAGCAAAAAAGCAGAATATGAAAATGGGGTTTATCATTTTGACAGTTTAAAACTATAGGAACAAACTTATATATGTAACAACCTTATATAAATATAAATATAACAAACATATAAAATGAGGAGGGTTCATGATCTCACTACTCCTTACCAAACACCTATTTGCATTATTTCTGTTTTCCCACAGAGACTTTGAACAAATGTATGCAAATACATATATACAACCACAACATATATATACACACAGGTACTTCAAAAAGTTCATGGGAGGCCGGCCCGTGGCTCACTTGGTAGAGTGCGGTCCTGATAACACCAAGGCCACGGGTTTGGATCCTATATAGGGATGGCCGGTTTGCTCACTGGCTGAGCGTGGTGCTGACAACACCAAGCCAAGGGTTGAGATTCCCTTACCGGTCATCTTTAAAAAAAAAAAAAGGTCATGGAAAATGGAACTAAAACATAATGTAAATCTTTCCATGAACTTTTTGAAGACCTCATGTGTGTGTGTGTGTGTGTGTATATATGAGATTCTTTTAATTATCTTTTAATGTGGGGCCAGATTGCTGCTGCAGAGGCAGCAGAGAGAGCCTGCCCTCAATAAGAGGACTGTGCAGGAAGCTGGGCCCTGACATTGACAAGCTCCCTGTCACCTATCTTCTCCTGAGTCATCTTCCTGGGGCATCTGCAGCAATAGTCCTAACTTGCATTGGGGGATGACTCAGAGCAGCTGTGCAGAACCTGCTGCATGGACAGTTCTTTGAAGCTGTGCAGCCCAGTGGCTCTGAGCTGGACCTGAACTCATTGTTTCTAAGGGGAAACCCCTTCCAAGTTCTAAAAATAAACAGACACATGACCTCTGCACCACTCCCCATTCTGAGCTTGGTGTCAGCTCTGGACTTTTGAGGGTGTCATAAGTAATTCTAGAGTTACTAAAGTACTTTAAGGTCCTTTTTAAAAAAGGGAACTCTGAGATTTTCCTTCATAATCACCATCCAGGCACTAAGTATTCCCATCCCAGAAATAAAATCTATTTCATGCCCAGCAGAAACCAGTTAGAAACAGACCCAGCCATAGATCCCTTACCCTTTTTATAAGGAAAGATTTGGCATTCCTGTCTTCTGAGCCTTTGCAGGAATACTGCGATTTTCTTTCTCTCTTGACTACAGAAGAATGGAGAAAGAAATAAGAAATGAGTAACCACAGGATCTGTTCACTGCTGTGTGGTCATGATAACAGTGACTTGTCATCCAACCTGAGCTGCCAGATGACCCCCACACCGCCTGCCTTGCTAGATCCCAACCGTATTGTTCACTTACTAGCATTCCCTTCCTTATCCGACCAGACCACTCCATCCAGCAGGGAGAAGTAGACAA